GCGAGGAGGGCGGGCGGTTGCCATCGAAGGGCCATCAGAAGGGGCTTGTCGCTGTCACTGTCCCCGTGTGACTACAGCACTGCTCACAGCAGACGCCGTTTGCGTTGTACGTGTAGACCAAGCAATTGACATTCCCAGTAATTAACACCCTCTGGTAATTTACAACCCCGCCCCTCCCCAGCCCCTCCGGACCTGCGAAAGGCCCCTTTCGGATCGGGGACAGCTGCTCCCTGCCCGCAGCATCCCGGCCCAAATTCAGCCTTCTCCGCGGATATTCCGAATTCCAAAAACTCCGAGAAGAACAATTACTCCATGCGGCTGGAAAGACGATTTTCCCCTTACCTCCCACCCACCCCCCACCCCATTCAGAGGTTTACATAGAAACACTCACGACCTCTCGATCTCGGGAAGCACAAAACTCCCCCAAACCGACTAAGCTCTCCCTACGAGGCTGCATTCTCGGATGACACCGCTCTCGTGGAAGAAGCGCGGCTCCTTCGAGCAGCCCGCGGAGAACCCCCCCGAGTTTGAGCAATGTCCCCGCCCCCCCATCCCCGCCGTCGAGGCTGCAGCGCAGGTGTCCCCGTCCCGTCGGGGCTCGCGTCCCGCTTCGAAAGGGGTCCGGAGGGACCCGCCCGCGTAGGGAGAGGGGTAAGTGACCCCCACCTCTCTTTCCCGCAACCCCCCTCCGGGCCGGGCGCACGCCTCGAGGGGGCGGGCGGAAGGTGCCGAGTCCCCCCCAAGTCCCCCCGGCTGTCGCGGGGAGCGGCCGCCGCGGCCATTTAGGAGCGGAGCGGGAGCCAATGGGAGGCCGCCGGGCGCTTCCAGCGTGACGGCCGAGATTGACGTGTTTCCCACGTCAAATTGATCCCAAGTAGCGGCGGGGGCTCCCCGCGAGCGGGGAACCGGCGCGGCGCCGCCACGACAGCCCCGCGGCCGCCGCCCCCCGCAGCCCCGCCGCCGGCTCCCGCTCCGCTTCCCTCTATGCCGCCCCGGCGGCGGCTGCGGCGCTGCCCCGCTGCCGGGCGATGGGTAAGAACGGGCGGCCGCGGGGAGGGCGGCGGGCCGGGCCGGGCCGGCAGCGCTTTCGCTTTGCGGATGGGGGGAGCGGGGGGGCACCGGGCACGGGGCGCCGGGAACGACCCCCGCCCGCCGCAGGCACCGTTTTGGCTGCCCCGAGGCGCGGGATGGGCTGCGGGCAGCAGCGGGACGTCGTGGCGGCGGGCGGGGACAGGCGGAGGGCCCGACCGGCAGCGCGCTCCGCTCTGCCTGTTTTGGAGTCCCGTCCTCGTCCTAATCCCTTCTCTGTGTCTTCTTTCTTTCCTTCTCTCTTTCTCTCTGTCGTCGTCTTTTTCCTTCTCTCTTTCTCTTTCTTTCTTTCTTTCTTCCTTCCTTCCTTCCTTCCTTCCTTTCTTTCCTTCTTTCTTTCTTTCTTTCTTTCTTTCTTTCTTTCTTTCTTTCTTTCTTTCTTTCTCTCTCTCTCTCTCTCTTTCTCTCTCTCTTTCTCTTTTTCTTTCCTTCCTTCCATTTCTCTCCTTTTCTCCTTCCTTCTCTGTTTCTCTTTCTTTATTTCTCTTTCTTCTTTCTTCACTCTTTTAACTTTCCTTTTCTTTACTTTTTCATTCCTCACTTTCTCTCTCCCTTTCTTCTCTCTCTTTTTTTTTTTTTTGTCTTTTCTTTTTTCTCCTATTTTATTTCCCCTATATTCTTTCATCCATTTTCCTTTCCTTTCCTTTCCTTTCCTTTCCTTTCCTTTCCTTTCCTTTCCTTTCCTTTCCTTTCCTTTCCTTTCCTTTCCTTTCCCTTCCTTTCCCTTCCTTTCCCTTCCTTTCCCTTCCTTTCCCTTCCTTTCCCTTCCTTTCCCTTCCTTTCCCCATCCCCATTTTCCCTCCCTATCCATCTCCTCCCTCCCCGGGCACTGACGCTCTCCCCGCCCGTCCCGTCCCGTCGCGGCCCGGCAGAGCACACGTACGGGGAGGTGAACCAGCTGGGTGGTGTCTTCGTGAACGGGCGCCCGCTGCCCAACGCCATCCGCCTGCGGATCGTGGAGCTGGCCCAGCTCGGCATCCGCCCGTGCGACATCAGCCGCCAGCTGCGGGTCTCGCACGGCTGCGTCAGCAAGATCCTGGCCCGCTACAACGAGACCGGCTCCATCCTGCCCGGAGCCATCGGAGGCAGCAAGCCGCGTGTCACCACTCCCAACGTGGTCAAACACATCCGCGACTACAAGCAGGGCGATCCCGGCATCTTCGCCTGGGAGATCCGCGACCGGCTGCTGGCCGACGGCGTCTGCGACAAGTACAACGTGCCGTCGGTCAGCTCCATCAGCAGGATCCTGAGGAACAAAATCGGCAGCCTCTCGCAGCCCGGCGGCCCTTACGACGGCGGCAAGCAGCCCCCCCCGCAGCCCGCCCTGCCCTACAACCCCCTTTACCAGTACCCGTACCCCGGCCCCATGGCCCCGCCGGCAGCCAAGATGAGCGCTCATCCCGGGCCCGTCCCCGCGGCCCACGTCGGGCTGCCCCGCTCCTGGCCCTCGGCTCATTCTGTCACCAACATCCTGGGCATCCGCACCTTCGTGGAGCAGACGGGTGGGTATAGAAAGTCACCGGGACAGCGCTTCTGCCCTCGGGGTTTTTTCCGTCGGGAAAAGCTCCGACGGCCGAGAGTTGATCCTGACGGCTCCGCGGCTCTGTCCTGCCCAGGAGCTTTGGGCGGTACGGAGGGCTCTGCCTACCCCCCCAAAATGGAAGACTGGCCCGGCGTGAACAGGACTGCCTTCCCTTCCTCCCAGGCCGACAAAGCCGCGGTGGAAGGGGACATCAAATACCCGCAGGTAAGGGGCGGAGGGGCAGAGGCCGGGGGCAGCCGTCAGGGCTGCCACGCGTCTCCGACACGCGTGTTTGTGCCCAGCCCGCCCCGGGACTCTCCTCCGTGGGCAGCTTTCTCCCGGCCTGCGCCTATCCCCCCGGTAACCAGCACGGCGTCTACGGCGCGCCCGGCGGCTACATCCCCCCAGGACACCCCTGGCAGCCGCAGGGCCACCACGGCCCCGGTGTGACGGTGCACGGAGGCGATCTGGCCAGCGCCATGGCCTTCAAGCAGCCCGGCAGGGAAGGTGAGAGGGAGCCGGGGGCCTGGGGACAAAGGGGGGCGGAGGGAAGCGACTGGACCCGACGGGGCGGTGGGATACCTCTACCCCGCTGTGATGGCACCCGCCGGGCAGCGCCGGGTAATGCGGGTAATGGGGCTGGAAACCATTTTCCCGGAGCCCTTCCGATCGAAGGCAGCCCGGAGAAAAGGCAGAGCGCAAGATCGGTGATCATTAAATCTTATCCCCAGTCCCTATTGCCAGGGCCCCGCTCTCCGCCTCGGGCGGAATTTAAAGATAAACCCCGTCTGCAGAACGCGGCTTTGATTTGAACGCGTTTACCGCTAATTGGGACGATTCTTTTATCTGCCGTGAATGATTTCGGTTCAGTTCTGAAAGATTTATTTGCCCGATAGGTGGTTTCGTTTAAGAAATCCTAACTCATCTGTTCTGGATATAAAATCCCCCGTCGATATCTTTCTCCTTTTTCGTGGCATTAGACTTTCTAATATTTTTCACATTTGCAATCCATTTCCCGCTTATTAGTCCTTCTCTTTATTCTATTTTTTTAATATATATATATATACATACATATATTTGACCTTTTACCGTTTCTATCCAACTCCGGCAACCTGCTGCGAGTTAGAACATCGGCCGTCTCGGGGACGAGTTATTGCGAATTTCAATGGATGAAAACGGGTCGTTGTAAACGTATTTTTTTGTTTAAAAAGAATATGAATAGGGAAAAAGAAAGCGGAGAAAGAAAGGAAAGGAAAAAAGAGAAAGAGAGGAAGGGGAAAGGGAAGGAAAAAGAAAAAGAGAAAAGAAGGAATGAAGAAAGGGGGAAAAAATAGAAAGGGAAGGGAAAGGAAACGAACGAAGCGCACTTTTAATATATTTTTCGGATTATTCTCCTCACATTTTAAGAGACTTGGAGGTTGAATTTTCTGACTTGGCAGTCTTTAAGTTGCATCTGCCGAAAGGCCCACGAACTTTCTTTCATTTTATTATGGTTGTTTTCTATATTCTTCCCCTTTTCCCGTCTCAGAGCTCGGCTCTCTGGCCCAACCCGGTACCGGCGGTGCTCCGGGCCGCGCTGCTCCGGGCTCGGCGGCTCCCGCTGCGGGTGCGGGGATCCGCTCGGTGCTGCGGGCGGACGGGGAGTGGTGGGAATGGGGGGAGAGGGCAGGGGGGGAAAAAAAAAGGAGAAAAGAGAGAAAAAATCAGCCGGGTATTTTGTTTGTCGGGTTCAGACCTTTTCCCTACATCGGGGCAGTTGTTACTCTAGAAATTCTCCCCGGTTCTTTGCTCAGCATGGCAGTGACGGGACGTTTCCCATCTCCTGCCCCGTGCGGGGGATACGCGGGGGATGCGCGGGGTCCGACCCGCACCCCAGGCTGTGCCTCAGCTGTACCACAGCCGGCACGGGCTGCAGACCCCCCACCCCCCCGCGTTCCCTGCCCTTTTCCCCTTCGCTTCTTTCCCTTCCTTTGGCAAAAGGAGATTTGTCACCATCACGGTCCCTATCGCTTGGGGGACTCGACGGGATCTTCCTTCCCTGCGTCCCCGGGAGGTTTGCAGGTTGCCCACCCACCGCCCTACTGCTGCCTTTCTTTTTTTTCCCTCTCCTCCTCCTGCAGTCACGGACAGAAAACCCGGCAGCCCCGTGGGGAAGTCCCCGGATCCTCTCAGCCCCATCCACGGACTCTCCATCCCAGCCTCCTCCTCCTAGAGCTGCGCACCGGGCACATTCGCTTGAAACACACAGCTGCAAACAGTGACTGGATCCCGAAGTGCCACCCAACTGTCACCCGAGTGCCAACGCCTCCGAGGGATGAGGAGACCGGCGAGCGGTGATGTCCTCCCACGGCAGTCCCTGCACTGGGGGACGCGGTGGGGACAGTCATGGGGACACGTAATCTCCATCGGATCGCGAAGGGGTGGCAGAAGAGACTCAGCCTTCCTTCCTTATTGTGTCTTTCTGCTTTTTTGTTCCCCCTCGCTTTCAGTTTTCTTCTCTCCCCACTGTTCCCCGAGGACCGCCGGCCGCATCCCAGGCTCTGTCCCAGCCCCAGAAAGGAACCAGCAGCCAGAGTGTAAATGGACAAATAAGCCACAACTTTTTGTGATATATTTTTATAATAACAAACCTTAATAAATAAATAATAATAATTAAAAAAAAAAAAAAAAATAAGAGTGACTACCATGGCATTTTTCCCCCGGTTGCAGCATGAATGGCAGGTGACAAGTGGGGGTGACAATGGATGCTATGGGGCAGCCCACACACCGGGGTGTGTGCCCCACCAACCCCCCGTTCGTCTGGCTCTGCTGGGCTTTTGTGTTCCCCGGCTCCTCCAGCCTCTGCCATTGGCGTGGGGCCCTTCATTGTCTGCAGAAGGGGAAGGTCCTCCGCTGGGGCAGGGAGGAAATATCCTGGCAGGAGAACACACACCCAGCTTTCTGCAGAGAGGGTGTCTTTGTGGGAGGAAGGCAGAACCACGCCAAGCTCGGCATCCCACCCCGGGAAGTTGCTTTGCCCTCAGCCTCGGGGTGGCAAAATTTGGTTTTGCCTCTGTTGCTGCGAAGCTTCCAGCCAGGGTACGAAGCAGGGGAGGGGAAGGAGGTGACTTTAGGTGGGCGAGAGTCCTGCCATACCCTAATAGTTACCTAGGACAGGTGCTAACTTTCTCTAGTCTAGATACGTCTGTTTAAATCTGCATTTGAGGGCTGCTGGCGGACTGGAAAAATTGATAGGCAGAACCCCTTAAAGATCAAACTCATCATACAGGGAAGAGGGGAAACTGAATCCTGTCTCCGTAGCTCTGGAAGGTCAAAGGAGCCCTTTACATCCCCAACACTCATCCCACCCCCATTCCCACACCAACCCCTTGCGCCCCTCATCTCCACCCTCTGACAGAACCAGAGATGTAGCTCGGGGGCTGAGCATCCTTTTGGGATGGGTGCGGGGATCCCAGCCCAGCACTACCCAGCGATGATGAAAATCCAGAGTCCCTTTGGCACTGCCCAGTGCCAGCTGGCTGTCCCACACACCCGCTGCCATGTCAGCACACCTCGGGCTGGATTTGCCACCAGAGGGAGACCCTATTGTTCCGCAAATACATAAAAGGAGTATTTTTGAGCTGCGAGGAAGCATTCACTTTCCTAGGCAGGGAACAGACAGATGCGCAGGCAATGCTCGCCATCCTACCAAACCCATGCATTCTGCTTTCTGGCATGGATTTAGAGTGAGAACCTGTGGCTGTTTTGTGTTTTCTCGCTGGGTGAGAGGGAGTTCTGACCCTGTGCCACCACTGCGATGACACAGGTAGCAGCAGGTGCTGTGGATATCACAGATTAGAAATTCAGTTAGAAACCTAAGGGACAGTATATTACTGGGGGTGAAATTTGCCACAACAAGCGCTTTCCGAAGGCTGACAGCAGCAAGAGAAAAGAAAGAAAAAAAAGCGGTGTGAAGAGAGAGGAAAATCAGCTCCAGCTGGAGAGGATCGCTCCGTTCTGAGAGAATAAGGATAAATAGATTGTTTTGCTCATGTTGAAAATGGCACCGATAATAATTATTTTGCTCTGAAGATTTATTGGAGCTGGGCATGTCCAGGGGGTTTGGGGCTCAAATCCTGCTCTGAGAACATGAGTGGATGGTGGGAACGCTGCTGTTGCCCAGCTCCCAGCTTCATCTGGAGGGAAATGGGGCTGATGTGGCCACGGTTGGTGAGAGGTGATCTGTAGGGGTGATGGGACTGGAGGGTGCTGGGATTCCTGGGAGGAGGGCTGCTGGCAGGAATGTTCTGCTCTGCATTTTGGGGCCAGCAGAGAGCTCCCAGGAGTATCACTGTGTTCCCCACGCACCTGGCTGGTTTCCCCCCATGGCAGAGAAACGCTGGGAGCAAAAGCCCCAGGCACATCCCAAAGCAAAATGGGCAGCGCTGCACTGATCGCTGCCATCCAGGCTCACAGCTGCAGCGGGCAGGCTGACAGAGCCCAGAGAAAATTGAACTTGATCAGAGCGGAACTTTCTGAATTTATGGCGACAAAGCAAGAGGGTGGAAACAATCCATTCTGACACTTTTCCACTGAAGATTTTGTCAAAATCGATACCATCCCTCCAAACATGTCAATTTTGATGGGGTGACATTTTCCGATGGAAAAGATTAGCTCCAAACTGTTTCCATCAGCTCTACCTGAGCCATCTATCTTTAGCTCTCTTTCTTTGGGGAACGTGGAGCAGAATGAGGAACGTTATGGATCTCATTCTAGGAGACTCATTGGTGGAGCATGTGTTTATTTTCTTTGTGACACACTAAGAAACATAAAGACGCAAAACCAAAGTGAGTGATGCTGTTGGAAAGGAGTTGCAGGTGTTTGGCACGAGCACAGATCGTGGCTGCTCCCACTTGCACAGTGCCATGCACCGCAGTGCTCACAAGGATGGGGCACACGTTCAGGATACGAATTTCCAGGATGGGTGTTTTCCAGTTCTGACCTCACTGTGGCTTTGCTGCTCACCTTTCCCCAGCAGTCCTGACTGCAGGGCGCTGCAGGCACGTCCCCATCCGTAACTCGTTCTGCAGGGTCACCAACACCTGCTTGAGCAGCGCCACTGGAGACCCCGCTGGCCAAAGCGCCAGCTCTCACGCAGGTTCAGCTTTCAGTAAATGTTGGTTATGTTTGAGAACAGCCTATATACAATCATCCAACTCCAACTGCTTCAAATGTTTTGAGGTCTCTGTAACCAGATCCCCGTCCTCCTACAGGAGCTTACGCAGAAGGACACTCAGAATACGCGCCCCGCTCCGCCTGGCTCTCAGCAAAAGTTACAAACCAAACCATCAGCTGCAAATTTATAAACTTTCCCACAATTGCATAAGTTGTTTTTGCAAATGGGACACTGATTCTCAGATTGCTCAGGCACTTCATAGCGTTTCTTCCCAAACAGCCCTTTGGGCACTCATCCCGATGGGGCTGGAGGGACCTGGGGGAGCAGGATGCCTGGTAGTGATCCAAACCTAAATGGGTGCTCAAGAAGAGACCTGAACGAAGGGAATGACATGTTGCAGGAGTTGCCTTCCATGCTGGGAGCTATCCCAGTGCATCTGCTCTGGCAGTCATCCAGTCTCTTTCCAATTGTCTTAATTAACAGCAAATATATCTGGTAGGGAGAGAACGCGGCCATGGAAGGTGATGAAACCTGGACGTGCCTCAGACAAGTGTTGCTAAAGGTGCTGATAGCCAGGATGGGCTGTGGTCTGCTCCCTCCCTGCTGGCTCTGGGACCTGACCCCACTGCTCAGTCCTTTTCCTTCCCAGCTCTGGTTTCAAACTCTGCCTGTGCATACTGCTCCCTTCCACAGCAAGCAGGATTTCTACCTTGCTTTGGACAATTCACCTTTGGCATCCCTAGTGCTGTGTTCCCAAAACACAATTTTTGATGATAGATTTCTGTTGGACACAAATCTTGGATGGCTTTTCCATCCAAAGCTTTACAGTCCCCTCAGCTATTTCCTTAAACGCCACACATCTGTGTCCCTAGCCTTGCTGTTTGCATTGATTACCCAGGCAAACCTGGTGTTCCTCTGCAGGAACTGCACTGTGGTGATGTCTGGATGTTGGGGAGTGCAGCAGCAGTCCCAGAGGTGTTATCTGGGGATCACACCCAAAGGAGGCATTTGAGGAGTCCTAGATAAGTTATCTAGGTGTTCTCAGAGGTGTTGCCTGGAGAGTCCCAGAGATGCTCTCTGGGCAGTCCCAATACGCTACCTATGCAGTCCCAGAGGTGCTATCCATGCAACCCCACATGTTCTACCCATGCAGTCCCAGAGGTGCCTGTGATAATCCACACAGCTGTAATTCTCTTCCTACAGCCCCCTACTGGTATCGACACCTCATACCGCTGCAATATTTATGTCACTTGTTTGGTATCCAAGGCATCCGCCCCACCAGTGCAAGGCTTTTATTTCCTGAAAGTGCTGAGAGACGTTTATGACCTGGAGCTTTAGAGGGAAGGAGCTACCTGCTGTCCCTGCTGCTGGGAAGGGGAAACAAAAGCAAGCGAGTGAGCTCTGCACGCTGCGGGCAGCACGGAGCAAAGCTGATTTCCTCCTTTTTGCATTTCATTGTGTCTCTTTGGAACCCCCCACTGAACTGATGGACGCAGGAGAAAAACAAAAGGAGAGCGGTGGTGTCAGGGTTTTGACAGGGGTTCCTCTTGACAATTTGCAGAGAGCTGGTGATGATAAATTGAAGCAAAAAAAAATAAAAAATAAAAATAAGAAATAAATTGCTAAGCCCCAAGTATAGCGTTACACAGCCACCAAGGAGCACTGTGGTTTCCAGGCTTCTTTCAGAAGCATTGCGTGTCAATGGATTTTGGAACACGTTGGGGAAGGAAGATCGATGATTTGCTCAAAGATGGCAAGTCTTCTGCTGCTGGAATGGATACTACATATCTGAACGTAATATTTCCCAGGGGAAAACGTACCCCCCTTGCTCGCCCCCCCATCCTGCTGAATAAATAAGAAAGTGCTTTTTATCTCAAAGCTATATTAACCTGGCAAAGATGACAAAAGCTTTCACTGAAGCTCTCCCAGAGATAGCACTGTTTTGGCATCAGGTTCTCAGAAAGTGATGTCATCCTGAATTTCAATGCCAGAGTTTTCCCTTTCTTCTTCAGATTTGTGGCGATGTCAAAGTTCTTCTCTACGGCAGATCTGTTTTT